CAGACCCGGGTTGCATCTCCGCACGCACCCGTGTACCGTGCCAGTGGGAATAAAAGACGGTGTTTAACCACCTGCACTGGGCTGCCTCTGATGTTCTCAGAGTGAAACTTGATGCTGCTCAGCAAAGACACACCTCTTCCAGGGTGTTGTGCAAAATTCTGCATTTTAACGTAGGACAGGAAATATGAAAAGAGCCGGGCAGAACCCAAACGGCACCCTCGGTTAGGCCGGGGTTCGCCAGCTCCAGTGGGGAAGCAAATCAAAGGGTTTGCTTCGGTTATCCATCCACCCGTGATTTTCCAGTGCTTTGGAAGCTATAGTTCCTGCGCTAACAGGTTTTAAAGGATTGGCATTGCTGCTTCCCTCTGGAGCAGCTCTGCAGAGGGTTTTTTTGGGGTTTTGGGGGTTTTTTTTCCCCTCCCTTTTCTTTCATGCTTTATTTCCTGACTCCACAGTGGGATGGGTCAGTTGCAAAAGATTCTCATTCCCTTTTTGGGATTGGTTTTGGCCTTCTGGTTTTATTCTGCGAGGGAGAATTTCAAACCGGGTAAGTATTAAAAGTGAATCTGTCTTTAAGGAAAAATATTAAAAGCCACATTTGAGTGTTTTGCATAGAAACTGTACAGAGCTTGGACCAAACCTCGTCTGAGCCTTTGTGTGGTAGCCGATGCTGGAACGTTGTTTTAACAAAGATTTGAAATCAGACGAGCAAGTAATATGCAGAAATACTTCCTAAGGGAGCAGGTGAGGCAGGGGGTCCAAGACAGAGGGGAGTCTGAACACTCCATTTTCCAGTGTGTAGCAAAACAATTTATAAACATGACTTTTAAATGTTGGCTTTTAAGTCTTGAAGCGTGCACTTAGTGGATGATTTCTATTACAAAATAGTTGGGGTGTTTACAAGTTGCATCCTGACTTGCAGAAAAAAGTGCTGAAAGAGTCGAGCGCTGTCTCCGTGTCACTGCATTCAGCGAGGAGCTGCAGCTGCTTCTCAGCGCAGCTTTTTCCAGCAGATGGAAGAGACGTCCTGGTGCCGGACGCTCTGCACTTGTGGACTCACTTAGCTTCCAATTAACTAACTCTCAGGGGCATTAGGGGATTTTATTTTATTTTTAAATAGGGTTCAGATAAATTAAATCCCTGTGCCTTGGTCCCCAGAGATGCTGAAAGGGAAGCGGGTGATCGTCACCGGAGCAAGCACTGGAATTGGAGAGCAGATGGCGTATCACCTGGCGCGGATGGGATCCCACATTTTGATCACAGCACGGACAGAGGCCAAGCTACAGAAAGTAAATGGCAAGCTGAGCACTCACACATGCATGTTCACGGCGGTACACACACAAACATATGAAGGCCAATCTCACATCACAGGTACATGCGTGAACATAGGCACATGGACTCGCTACGGCACAGATAGGCACAGTTACACTCACAGGTCCACATACCTGCGCTGTCTGGGGCTCCTGCATGCACAGAAATCCGTCTCCTGCAGATACATGCACTCTGCACAGCACATATGATGTTTGAGCTTGCTTAGTTATGTACATAGCCCCATACACACAGGCTCCCTCAGCGCACACACACCCTCATTCCACTGCAGTGATATACAAGCTCCCTGCTCACCCTATACGCGTGCAATTCCAGCACAGGCTGCACCGATAAAGAGCCAGACTGCCTTGGCTGAGGCATTCACCAAAGGAATAATTTTTCAGGCTCCCGTGGAAGCTTAAAAGTCTCCAAACAGACTCCCCAAAACTCCAAACCGCCGTTTCAAGGCAGGGACCCATCACAGGGAGCACAGACACCCTCTTTTGCTACCGGCCCAGGCTGCCCAGGGCAGGGAGGGGGTTTCTGATGGTCGTGTTGCTGCGGCAGGTGGTGGAGCGGTGCTTGGAGCTGGGGGCAGCCTCTGCGCGGTACGTCAGCGGCACCATGGAGGACATGGCCTTCGCCGAGCGCGTGGTGAGGGAGGCAGAGATCTCGCTGGGTACGTTTACAGCCTGCTGCCCACAAACGACAGCGGAACGCTGCATCTCTCCTTGGCCATGCTGCTTTTTGCCACATGCCCGCTAAAAAAGTAGGAGAGATGGAGATGGGGTGAGACGGGAGAGATTATTGCCTAATTACGCCTTTTGCAGTCCCGCGCCGCCGCCCAGCTTCACCGCTCCAGCTCAAACCGAACTGCACTCTTGATTTCAGCTCTGTGCCCTCACAACATCCTGTTCCAGTATAATAATCCTAGATTTCATCACCCCCAGCTACTGTGGTCTGAAGCTGTCCATCAGGCCCGTAGCAGCCTTGCTATTGCGGTCATGGGTCACGGCTGCAGAAATGCAATGTTTCCGCTCCATGCGGAGCGCTCCCTCTCCTGCCCCAGGCCCGCAGACAGCTCGAGGGTCATCTCCCTTGTGCCATGGTATTCGTGTTTTGAACTGAGGAGGGAGGAAACTAAAAATAGTGGCAAAATTTTTAATGGCAGCCACCATCCGGACTATATCCCTACTCCAGAGATGACAGGCCACAGCTCTGACCCAAAAACCCGATTCCTTTTGATGAAATTTATTCTGCTCCCAGGAAAGGCTCGGCTCTGCTGGTTGTAGCCCTCTCCCGCCCAGCACTAACGCCTGCTCCTCTGCTTGCAGGAGGCCTAGACATGCTGATTCTTAATCACATCGGCACGTCGTACTTTGATTTTTTCAACGGGGATGTTGGGCACGTACGAAAGCTCCTGGAGATCAACTTCCTCAGCTACGTGGCGATGACCACATCTGCCCTGCCCATGCTGAAGGAGAGCGAGGGCAGCATCGTCGTGGTTTCATCCATGGCAGGTGAGTTGGGAGCGAGGTAGGTAACATGGGATTCGGTCAAAAGACACTGTGGGCTGATTTTCAGAAGCAAGCAGCATGCAGAGACACCAGGCATCCTAGAGGAGCCATAACTGCTTAATGCACTCAAAAAACCACCCCACCCAAACCCCCAAATCCAGATTTTTTTTTTATTTTCTCAATGGAATTTGTTCTCTGATGCAATCCAGTTGCCCCAGCTTGCTTTTTGACCAGCCCTGTAATTAAACCCCACACCCTGGTGTCAGGCTTGTTAGAGCAGCAGAGCTCATACACCTCCAGTTTTATGGAGAAAAGTGGAAATACAGTAATTTCTCACTGCATTGGATCTCTGGCTGTTCATCTTGGTTTGGTAGGTCAAGTTCCTGCTAATATTTCTAGAGTGAGTTATTGACTGGCTCTATTCACAAAAACATGACTCCGTTCTAATAAACTTGTTTTAAGTCAGGAAACTAAATTACTAACAGATGTCCTCACTCGCAGCTGGTATGTTGGTTAGTCTTCTGGTGATCAGCTTAGCTCAGCATCCAGAGAGGAGAGTTTAAACTTTGCTCCATCTCTCCCCTCTGAGGGTTTCCTACTCACTGCAGGTTACTCACACCCTGAGCAGAGCCATGAGCCACGGTGTTGGCTTTGAGACCTTAAAAGAGCTGGAAGCTGATGGGAATATTTGTAATGCTGCTGTTCAGGTGCCAGGATGACACTGCACTAAAAGTTAACTCCTTTTGGGTAAAATGCCCTGGCTGCTGAAGAGCGAAACAGAGGTTCGGGCAGAGCAGCTTTCCGTGCTGTAACAGAACTTCACTCTGTGTCCAGGTAAAGTCGGGTTTCCCTTTACGGCACCCTACTCTGCAACTAAGTTTGCCTTGGATGGATTTTTCAGCTCCCTGAGGCAGGAATTCAGCATTAAGAGCATTAACGTTTCCATCACGCTCTGCATCCTCGGCTTCATTGATACTGGTAAGATCGGTGCTGTTCGATCCGTCTGATCAGGAGCCGAGCATCACCCTCACGCTGCTTACCCCGCC